GCGATCTCCTGCGCATATCCACAAGCTCCCGTGTGCTGTATACGCGGCACCGCCCTGAAACAGAAGAACCACGTGAGAACTGAGGCCCAGTGAGAGGCGAAAAAAACCAATAGTCTCTGCTACAACCAAACGCCACCAAAGCTGCTGCCAACTCTGCTCTTTCTTTCATACGGTGGCAGCAAGCTATGTAAATACAGATGCTCATGAGGAAGGCGCCGGTTTCAACAGTGCTCGCTAACATGGATCAGTGAATACACAATGGGGAGATGGGATGGAAGACTACAGTGTTGGAGACAGGGACAAAGTGGCAGACGCAACAATTAGGTATCAGTCAGCTAGTTTAGTGTTCATCTTCATTACCTCGAAGATCATCGTTAATACCTCGACTTAACCCAAGCGATGCTGGAGCCGGTCTCAGTGCAAGTATACTTTCTGGTTCCTCTCGACGCGTTGCCAGTATGTGACTTATTGGCATACTTTGACATGCCGCTAGTATACTTATCGAAATGGAGTTATTTGAGGGACACGGATTTGTTTGTTTGCCTTACGACGTGAACAATATTCTCCCTAAACGAATCCGAGCGATAACGTAGTGGACGAAGTTCAGCGGCTTTACTGAATAAGCTGCCCTATAGCGATGCTCTGAGCTGTTTTAGGTTATGTAAATCACGAGAGTCTATTTTCCGAAGTTGTGAGCTGTGTGTCAATTAGGAACTATAATAATAATAATAATGGTAACTAAATTTTTGCGCTTTGGTGACGTGCGGAGGCTTTCTGAATTGATTTCGTTTTTCAGGCGCATATGTATACCATCGGTTATCGGCGAACGTCTCAGGAACGTACGTTAATTAATTGTTTTTGTTCCTGGCAAGCACGCGAATACGCTCAGCCAACGTTACAATGATGTACATAAATAAAGTTGGCCGATGGCCGACATTTCGTTGACGCACGTAAATGGAGTCGGCCATCGGCTGACATTGCAGTGATGCACGTGTATGTAGTCAGTCATCGATGAAAATCAGCAGTCGGCTGATGACGACTACGGTCAGCCAATGTTGCAACAATATACTTTAATCAATTCGACCGTTTGCTGACTTATAATCAGTTTTATGGTTAACAGAAGCTACAACTTTCTAGCCTACTAACCAACGCGATATTAATACCGTTCCTGAGACGTCATAATTGAAGTTTTCAGTTAAGGAAGCTCTTAAAAGGCATTTTGACCGCATGAGTTATAGCAAATGTGACATTCGGATTCTTGTTTTTTTCACTTCAAAAAAACAAACTTCAGTCATAATGACACATATGCCATTTTGCATGGCTCGTCAAGATTTATTAAATGGCAGCAGAAAAAACGTCCTTTAAAGAGACGCCATACTGAATGGTTTGTTTGAATGAACAGTATTTTCGACATTAAAACGAGACTTATATCATTTTTCAATTAGGTTAGTTGAGACCTTTTGATTGGGATCAGGAAAAATTCCCCTTACATAGACTTCTCGGCAGAAAAATTTTCATCCACAGAGAAGAAAAAAAAAAGGGGGGTTATCTAAAAAAAATTATGAATTATATTTTAGGGAAAAATGTTTGTCACACCTACTGCTGCAACTTTCAAATAGACTTCCATTTTAAAAAAATGTGCGAAAGCAATGAAAAATAGCTCAGAAGGTACTTTCATACTACTGTTACACAAGACAGACAACAGGTCATATAATGCGTTTTTTTATGCCAGCGCACCCCTTTTCACTCTACGAATACATATTGCATCTTCAGTCAGTTTGTCGAAATCCTTCAATCGGCAGCGAAAAAAACTGTAAAGAGCGTTTTGTTTTGACTTAGACAAACATTATATTTTTATATTTAACATAGAAAATATTTTAAAAAGCAGTTCCAGTGAAAAGATGGTAGCCACAATGTATAGTAGTTATAACTTTTCAATCGACATTTTTATTAAAAATGTTTGTTCAGAAAAGCACTCAAATACCTAAAAACCGTTATTTTCATGTACATAGAAAATTAATTTAAAAATGGATCTTTCGGCGTTATCAAAACGAATATCCATTTTAGCAATTATGCTTTAGCTATACCCACCGAAAATTACTAATCACTATTAAGGACCGAAAATGTCAGAGTTTTCTAGAAGCTTTTGTCAAATTGTCATTATTATTTACTAACAAGGCACTACAAGGAAATAGGTACACCACTAAATATAGCTCTCGTCAGTCGTACAACTTTGCAGTCGACGTGTATAAAAATGTTGTATTAAAAGAACACGGTCAAAATAGCCTATGTCCCTAAATGGGTAAAAGTTCTACAAAGGTGAAAACGGCTTTTTGTATATCATGAGCTGTAAATTTTTATATATAAACATATATTTAACATTCTGGCTTAATTTTTCGAAAGAGAAAAAAAAAAATAATATCTCCCATAAACCAGTGTTAAAATGTTGCCCTTCAGAGGGCAGTATGAAACGAAAATATAAATTTATCTATAGCATTTCAATTCGCCACTCCAAAATCTACTATTTAAATTTATCTTCAAATGATATTTATGCTTAAATTGCTATATTCCATAAATTTTTAAAAATTGTAATACCCCTGATGAGGAAAATTTGCAAAAAAAAAAACTATAAAACTTTGATAAAAATCTAATTTTGCGGTAAAGTATCTTTTTTTCTATCTAAATTTCAGATTTTACATAGCTCTCAGCTGAATTTTTGGCACTTCATTTGAAAAGTCAAAAAAAATTAATGTACCGCTCAGCCCCGACAAAATAATGCCGAACATAAATAAAGCAAACAATTCCAAATCCCCAAAAATGGCCCTTACGGAAACGGGCCTCATTGTCGTACAGACAGATGTTACCGGCGGCAACAGAGATGTTAAGGAAGAAAAAAAAGATTGATACTAACAATAATAACAGGTGAAGAGCCAATCGAAATAGCTAGTTTAAACAATATGGTATTTTTATTAAATTCTAAACACTCTTGTGCCGCCATCCCTATTACTGGTCATGGGTTATAACGGACGATGGGTAGGTCTTCGCCAATTATAACTGTCACTTTAAAACTGCAAGTTTTACGCTACAGGATACGCTAATAAGCTACTGAAAGCCTCCTTGGGTGGGTGCGTGCTAAAAGAAGGAAGTGACAGATCGATAATTTCTCATTAGAGTGTTTAAGACTTGTGTGCTTTATCCGTGTTCTGTTTCCTATTAGAGCACGATATGAATAGAATCGCGTATGTCCATTGCTAGAATAACAAAGGGGAAATAATTGTATCACGTATATTGTATGTAAAAGTAAGCAAGGCGAATGTCGTCAATGGCAATACTTAACAACGAACGAGGAGTACGGATCGATACGCGACAGACGGGGCTCGATCTTGATATTCATTCTTATTGTTGACGAAACCGTTATAACTCGCGGACGACTGTACAGGTATCGGCGTAGTGTGCTTTGAAGTAGAAGGCTATGAAGTTTAACCGATATGGACTTTATTAGGCACGCCGCAAACAGCGGACTAACTGAGAGGTTTGTATTTGTTACAAGGATAACGGTTGCGACGTCCGAACGTGCAACACGAACCGCAGATACGACAATGGCGTGCGTCTAAAAGTACTGGACATGTAAGCTTAAGCGCTCTGTGAGCGTGATGAGGTGTCACGGAAGATAACCGGTGTCAATTCTCAAATGATACGCAGTGAATTTCGTAACATTGTAGCGTGGGAGAGACACTGTTAATCATCTCGAACGTATTCAATGTATTAGGATATGTCAGTTAGTTGACAAAAATTGCCCATGCCTTTATTTCGGACACTTTAATTACAAATAGGCTTAATTCAAAGTTTACTTTTCCCCTAAATTGCCAACTGAACATATCGGAACTTAAAATAATTTTCCTTTTCTCTAAAGGTTTTGGACCCTAGAATATTGACAGTTCTTTATTCGACAGAAGAAGGTAAATCGCCATTCACTGAATCACTGTATTCATTTAATTATCACCAGCGTCACCAACGCTTTTGTCAAGCTTACATTTAAACCCTCCCATGGTCAAATATTGTACCATTGATAAGGGGGCAAAAATTCCTGTCGATAGTAGCCGCAGTGTACTAAAGAATAGAGGGTGGCGAAGCTACCGGTGCTTTCCGGAAGTGGAAGCATATTTTAGATGAGGTCCATAGGGATGATAGCAACAACAAAGCATCGGACAAAATGTTAGAAGAGATGTGGTGGAAGCGACGCTGGCCGGGCCAGAATCAAAGATAGCGTAAAAATGACCACTGAAGTTTCTCGATTATGAATCAAATTTAGTGGGGTCCTTTCGCACCAGGCCGGGCAATTTGCCCGTGTCGTTGTCTCTCCGTATTTCGCCCGTTATCGCTCTAGTTGCATTAAAAGTCGCTGGAATAGAGAAGCCCTGAACACGAAGTCACGATCATCTCGCGAGTGGGCAACGATGGTCGTCCGAATGAACTCAATAGAAAAAAAGGAAGAAGGAGAACGATGAAAAAAGCCCATGTTTCTAATAGAATCGAGTGTTTAAATCGACTTCTTCAAGCCCGGTGATTCTGTATGCCCAAAATGTACAAAGTTCTTCAGGGCTCGGACGACGTCGACACGCGCATACTAAATTAAAGAAAAGAAATACAAATAAGCAGTCGGCTGTTTCCCGACCAGTTAGTTTCAAGCGGTCGGACAGTGCTCTTTGCTAAACGCGTTGAGCCGTTCGTAGGCAGACGCATAATTATGTAATAGATCTATAAGAGCGCTTTATAGGATTCAATAAGGTAGTAAGGAAGCTGAGTATCATTGCGTCTATACAGTTCCACTAGTCGGTAAGTTTCGAGTTAACTTATTTTAGGGAAAAGAATGCATATACGTTTCAATGTACATCGACACTACTAGTGCAGCGTCTACACAAACGAGCGCCAAAAGAAGATACTTATAAACAGTGGAAATTATGCAAAAATGTAATGTTTATCGAGAAATTGAAACTAACCGTAAAGACTAACCGATTGGCTGGCAGCTGTGCTTTTAGCTATTGTTATTGTCGATGTCTTATTATTACGATGCCAATTATTGACACTATCACAAATATTTCTTCCTAGGTTGTATGCAAGCCAACGCGATGGTATCCTGTTGTAGGCGACCTATTAACAAACTACCAGCTACTAAAAGATTCGCAACAAACACAACAATCCACTTCGAACAACTGATGAAAGGGCTTCTTCACTTTGCTCTGCCTTTGATTCTCTGCCTGTTGACCTATAACGCAAGACTCTAAATAGGTCCATACATGTGTGCAGTTACGTGTACTTCTTTCGGTGGCACCGCCAACAGTTCAGTTAAATCTGTGAAGTGGACGTCGTCCTCACAGGCACATGAATAATGAATTAATTACGTCTTTTCGTTGGGACAAACGTGATCGAAATAAACTTCTATCGCATTGTTGCATACGCGACACAGATCAACGAAAATAGCTGCTAAATTTGCTTGGGTTTGATGTTTGTAACAAAAAAACAAGACACACTCCTCCTTTCCTCACTCTCGACCCCTTTCGCTTTCTTATCACTTTAGCAAGATTGACGGGTTGCTGAACGTTGGTAAAAGTTTTCGAAATTTCATCACTTTGCAAGTTACTTCCACGAGTACGATACGAAATAGCGCACGAACACGAGTACCATTGCTGTTACTCTACGTTGCACGATTTGCTCGACGGAAGCGCGTCGTGGGCGCGCATTCATTCGATGTGACGGACACCACTCGTGGCTAACGGCTCAGTGTTTCTGTGCCCCCCAAAAAGCAGCCGGCTGTCGAGCAGGATCTTCTACATGGTTTGAAGAAGGAGACCCTCGCCAGGCTCGGCGAGCCTTTCCCTATTGAGGGAAAGGCCATTCGCTAAAGAGCTTGCTAGCTGGCAGCTAGCTATGGGCTGCTCGTCTGTTCCAACGAAGCGAAGGGTACCTCACAAGCGCGGGATGGCAGCAGTGTTTGCCTTGATAACCTGTAAAACTGCTTAGGAGTGAGCCAGGATCTGCATAGGAACGCACCGGATGGCGGTGACCCCTGACATTTGTAGGGATAGAGGGACCTTACGGAGCCTAAACCAGTAGTCCGTTGTAGATGACGCAAATTAGGCACGCACGCTACCACACGAACGGTGCAACCATTGTCGCCGCTGCTATTCTGCAATTTGGTCCGCAACGTGATGATGCTATAGCAAAATGGAAAGGATATGGGATGTGGCTTTCATCGCAGCAAGTGTATAGGGTTAATGGAACCGTTCGCGTTTACTAAAAGAAAATAGACGGACTCAGGCCAAGGCAGATGCGGCCAATTACAATGCAAAGTACAGGACATGGTCGGCGCTTGTGCTTTAACGGAGCAAAATGGAGTGCACTTGCAACAGATTGCATAGGCGTATGATGTTGTTGAACTTCAGGTAAGCTGCTGTGTTGGGAGAAGAGAACGATATGCAGAAACGAAAAGGATGAAAAGAGGTAGGCTGCGTCACGTATGTATAGAACAACGTATTGCAATAAAGATACTAAAGCATCAAAAGAATGCATATCCACATAGTTTCATTAAGGGTTCTCACGTTAGGATTGGGTATCCCATCAGGTTGAAGTTGACTTGCTGCTAACGTACAAAGCTGGATGGCATACAATTGCCAATCGATTTTGCGGTAACTGTTATTTGTTCTATACCGTAAATGCCTTAACACGAATATGATTGTCCGGCTAGGTAAAGGTTTTCGAACTTCTACTACAGAATAGCTGTCGAGCCGAAACCAGACTAAGCTCCGCTTCACTTAATGAAACCTCAATATATATGTATATGTATATATATAAAGGTTTAATTTCAATTGTGGTAAAAATACCTGGATACAAGGTTCCTGTTGCGTGACCAACGAGGTATACTAGTACCTTGCACAACTGCACCCAATGCTGTTGAATCTAATGATGCGTAACCGGTACCCATCGACCCAATAAAGGTCAAAGTTCGAGAAAGGTTTACGAGGCCGGCCTTTAGCCCAAACCAAACTCACGATGGCCTACTCAGCATTGGCATTACACTAGTGAAGGTCATCGATAGAATTGCGTATTCGGATTGTACGACAAAAGTAATCAGTAGTGATTGCGTGGAAAAAAATGAAATAGCTTCAGAGAAAGCAAATGTATGACATATCTAAGTGGTAGCCCATTTCAGCTGATATCCTTCTTTCGTAACATTTAATTTATGGTACACAATTAACAAATTATGCCAAGTATAATCAGAAGTACGCGCATGTGAAGCAGTAGAACAAACAAACGGTACAATCGATTACATTGAAATTACATCGAAAAATACATTGACAATTCCTCAATAAGTTTCTTCAACGCCGATCTCCCGTACGGTCGAAGCCGCCGCGCACATTAAAAAAAAGACCTTTTAGCATGAAGACACTTCCTTAACCTGGTGCCTATATATGACCTTCCGTATTCCAAGACTTATCTTTCGTTAATCTCGAATTTGAAACATACTGTCATGAAAAAGCTCCCTATATAGTATACGACCTGTGTAATTTATTACAAGGAGTTGTGTAACTTTTAATTAATGGCCTCGGTCACCATTCACGGCGAAGAAACAATGGCGTAGCCAGTTTTCCGTGTAAAATATTGTAGCTTTCATGTTTACTATATTATTCGAAAACAGCGTCTATCTGCGAGTATGAATATTGGATAATTTGCTCCCCTAACATGGTCTAGGTAAAGTGGTTAGTTCGATCGGGTTTTTCGCAATAGGGTTTCGTCTTAAAGTAACTTGCAGATACGACATTAGTTATAGATTGAATAGATGCTTAAAGCGCACTCTACGAAACGAAAGTAGATGCTTCAATCAAAATAGCAATCCTTAGCAAAATTATTGAGTTATATATTTGTAGAGGCTAAGAAACGTATAGATTGTGGTAAATATAGGAAAATAGGACAAATGCCGTAAGCTGTTCGATTCGCTAGAATATGTAATATGAAAGCAGGAATAAAGAGGCTGAGGAGGATAGTAATCAATCTAAGTATCCGCTTGCGTCAGAGTCTGGCTTAGCTGAGATCTCAGCGGTAGACTGGCGTCGTGTGCAAGGTAAGATTACCAGCAGCTTTCAATATGCAGGCGTAACCAAAATTTATTTTGGGTATATATTGAACACTTTTAAATCACAGTTTCATAGCTCTTTTCTATTCGATGATGAAATATGTCCAACGTGATAATGGAATAATCGCAGTGGAACAACAACATATCTTAACGAGAAGTATGGCCTAACTGATAAAAAAAAATGAAAAATGCAATGAGTAGGCACTTTAATATGAAAAGGACGCGATCACTGCAACCCTGCGATAACTGAACCTTTTCAGGTGGATAACTCTCATATAGGTATAGTTATGTTGGATGCGGTCCGTGGAGTAAATTAATAGTAACTAGACCATAAGCAGAGCTACTGAAGCAAGGTAACTGATTGACTGAGTTGAGCCAGTAGACACACTGAAACAAACTAACTTCATCGAAATATTCGGTGAAGCGTAAGACCCTTGTGTTGGATAAAGTGTATGCTTTATCTGGCAACCTCGAAAAATTTATTTTGTTTTTCGAATTGGGATCCGAAAACAGCGAATATAAAGGCCACAACAACCCTTATTTTTGGCTTGCGTAATCTTTTTGCTGATTGCGTGCGCCGCACAGACGTGCACCACACAGACGTGCACAACACATCTCGCTGTGCTTCAGGAAACACAGAAAACCTGCTAGACCAGTTTTACCGAACAGAGTCTTTGTTTCGCTTTACTTTTTGTATAACCTGCTTCTATGCGGGTACATTATACGCAACTAAATAACTATTGAACAAAGTAAAAAAACGCTACCGCTGATACTGACTACAAGTCAGCTGTCCGGCATGATTTCTTTTTAGAGTATATACTAGGCTACCTTGCAAGTATCTTCCCATATCCGATGATTCCGTCGAAAGATCATTCATTGCTGTTTAACAAAGGTTCTAGCAGTCACTGCCAGCGCCTGGTGACCCATTGCTACCCACACAATTACGGAAAGTAGAAAAACCGCAGCTTTTTGGCCCAGGCAAAATGTTCCTGCGCGAAAACGGTATCCCCCGATCTACTCTCGGCCATACGCTAGCATCTAATATTGAACACGCTTTCCGCCAACTACTTATCAAGACCCTTTAACTTCTCTGTCGACCCATGTACGCAACTGTTGCTGAAGACCAAAGCAAACGACTGCACAATGGCTGCATCTTATATAGAAATTGCATATTTATTTCTCTGCGTACAATACAGCAAATTGTTTTGGTATCGACGAAAAAATGTGTATGTCGATCATGTCTGCTATGGTATTTTCTAGTATTTGTACATCTGTGTTGCTTAGAGAACGATCCGTTAACTGAAACATAGCTCTAAAATGAGGGATAAATGGTTACTTCTGAAAATTAGTCGACTGTTGCCTGGTAAAAGCATACTTTGTGAAACGTAAGTTTTGCTAGACCCCTAATATCGTTTAGGTGGAATAAGAATGTATCCGGATATAATCGCCGCTCTCTACAAAGGTGAAAATACTAAATTAGTACATAAAACCTTAGGTAGCTGTCGATCGGCCAAAGTTTTGTGAGTAGTAGCTTAACCATCACGATATTAAGTTGTTGATGATGTAGAAGTTTCACTGAAAATTCTACCCACTTTGTACAGACTAGTACGAATATATTATTTTATAGATAGACCTGGTTCACTTCCGGCTCTGACAAAGTGCCGACACAGTTTCAAAGTAAATGATCTATAAAGTCGTTTCCGAGATATATGAGCTATGAGATACGTCATGTCACAACTAAGATAAAACCGGTCAAATCGTCTCCCTATATAAAATGCACCTCCTACACTAACGAGGTAAACATGGAGGTTTTATGGAGAAGCACCCTTATGTCCATGGACATATCTGTCTATAAAGCCGTAGATCACAAATTATGAAAGCGTCACAAAACAATAGCCCCAAGGAATGGCTACGTACCGTGCACTAAAACATGTCTGTTGATGAAGGACAGACAGCGACCTAACATTGTCTTTATCAAC